ACAAAACGATTACTTCCTCTGCTAAGAATCTCATCAAATAACCTGAACAAGGACTCCAAATTGACCATGGGTTAGTAAATGGAGAGGATATACGAAATATCTTGACTTTCGAGCATGGCAAACATATAACTACTAATATTCTATTTGGTATAGTCTTTTGTGTCACAGCCTAAGGGGGGAAATCTACCACTCATTATCAAGCTACTTTTCCAGGGCTTTTTTTTATTAGTCTGTCAATTTTATGTGTAGTTTTTTTTTTCAGCAGAGTAATGAGCTCTGGAACTAATGACATTCTATTCATTTTTACGGGTCACTTCTTGAAACTACAGTATTGTCATAATTACTGAATTCCTATTATTGTAGAAAAATTGTAAAAGGTCACTGTAATATTATCTGAGCAGTCCCTTCATCAGGTTGAAGACAATTATTCTAATATTCAGAACCTCCAAACTTAAATAAATACATTGTAAATAAACAAACACAAATAAATAAATAAAATTCATAATTTGAATCTGCTTCAGTCAATAAGGTTGTCATATACAGTTCTTACATAAAAAGAACATGGTAACTTAAAAAAAAAAAAATATTGATTTAAAAAAGAAAAAAATCAATATTTTGATTTGATTATTGAGAATGTGATAAATGGAAAAAATTAGAAAAGTGGAAAAACTATTTTTTACACAAAATGATGTTATAATAGTGGTTTTGTTGAAATAACACTTTGAAAGCATTAGACATTACACAGTGTGTGTTTTAATTCCATGAAAACAAACAATGTATTTTAAACATGATGTATACTATCACATGAAACCCATATTGAGTCTTGTGACTACTGTGTTTTTTTAATATAAGCCCCAAATGCTCTAGTCAAAAAAGTGAGTTGGAAAAACATCAAAAGTCAGATTTCAATAGTTAGTGGTACGATAAATAACAGAACTTGTAAAAAGCAAACACGTATATCAATCAATGCAATTAGAAAATGATACCATATTTTGTGAAAAGAAAATGTGAAATCATATACAAAGACTTGAAAGACAACATTGAGGAATGAATCAGAACATGTCTGCTCACAAAGCCCTACAGCAGACTGAATATAATAGCTCAATGCAATGAAATAAGAAGAGGAATAAAAATCTGAGATTTCAAAGATGTACAGGAAGTTAAGCCACATCAATGCAATGCATTACTAGCTATAGTCCCCATATGGACGAGAGAATATGCTGCAATTGAATCATGACATATTTCTAGTAATGCGGCCCTTCTGTATACTTCAATTCTCATAATACAATCGACAAAAGGTTATGACACAGTCACTGAAAATATTGCACACGTCACGCTGAGCTAACGGCTGCAGATTTCAGATATGGTATCCTAGTTTTTAATTTTTTTCTCATCTTGTACATGAATTGGCGCCACTGTCGGAAGACCACAAAGACACGGCTGCAAATACTTTGCTCTATGACGTCTGCACTTATCAATTATCAAATCGCCGGATCAGACAAAATTTCACCAATAAGCTGGAGGGTGAAACCATGCATCTACACTATTGGGTTCTGGGCTTGACCAATGGGCGACTCCAGTCTCACATGTCAGCGTCTCAGGGCTCATCAACATGTTTCCTGGTTGTCAGGACACACTAATCACGTAAACCAACAAAAAAAAATAATGCGACAACGCCGAGTTAATTAGCCATAAAGGTAGCCTGATAGATAGGAGGAGTAGATATGTGTAACAATAACAACTTATAAAGGGAAAAACCTGAAAATATTTACCTAAAAACACACAATCAAATTCAACGAAATATACAAGATGCATATAATTTAAAAAAAAATATATGTATGCAAGGTCATGCTGATACCCGAAAATGATCTCTTCAGTAGTATTTCCAGAATAATTTGACATCTTCCTGGGATGGGGCTTGATTACAAGTTTAAGAAGAAGCAGCTCAGTTTAATTTTAAAGTGTTCAAATCAAAACATATATCTATACTGTATTGCAATGACATGGCTACTGTAAGATGATAGGGATGTAGAGTCCCACCACCTTTTTGTGATGCCACACAAAATAAAGATGTTTCTATGCTTATGAAGGCCTCTCATTCAAACCCTCCTCCTCCATCCTACCCTATCTATCCACTGCACTGGCAACTGGAAGAATAGCCTGTCAACAAGAGGGGATTATTAGAATTACTTCCACTCTGCTGAACTAAAAGCCTGGAAAAAGAAACCCACCACTACAGAGTAGAGCCGGACAGGGTAATTACAAGCTTAGCTATACATTGAAAAATATGGCAAAACTGGAAGCATT